GTTGGAACTGGAGATTAGGAATTATAATTGTAAATAACTTTCCAAGATTTCTTACAAATCCCTGAAGTGAACAATGACCCTTTCACAAATCATTAAATAATGCAACACCACAAATTACTTTCCAAACATTTTAATTACAAAAACTACATGAAACAATCTTGCTGTATGCTCTGCCCTTCAACTACCCATAGAACAAACAAAAAAAGGAGGTACATATCCAGCATTTGCAGGTTCAACAACATTTTGCTGGAGTCTGGAAGTGGAATAAGAGCAGATATTATGGGTCAAATCATAGGCTGACAAACCTAGAATTAGTTGCTCAAAACATTGAAACAAGTTCAGTCATTCACAGGAAGGGGTCTCAGTTTAACTCCTTCAGTAAACCCATGGCTCCATCAATGACAGATGTAATAGTATTCTGGATATGGTTACTTCAAAGCCTTGGGCTGATTTGATTGGGTGGGGTGCACAAATTTTACAGATTGCAGGAATTTTTTCAACATCTAAAATTGTACAAAGTTATTTTCTACATCAAATGCACACTTACAGTATCAAATTTCATTTGAAGACCTTCGAACACAAATCAGATTACCACAACCATGCTATTTCAGATGCAGGAATAAATGAGAGATGTGCGGGATTAAGTTGAAGTACGTCCACAGCTCAATCTGGGATAACAGGTGGATATTGCAGGTGAATACTGCAGGTGAATCTGGAGATGTTTGAATGGCCAAAAATGTCCTTCTCATCCACAATACAATCTAATAAAAGTAAACACGATTACTTTCATTTTGTTTCTATATCCAAGTCTTGCTATAAAGACTTGAAGTTTTACTTTGCACTCAGCAGGGCAAGCACATAAGAAACCAGCCCTGAAAAAACAAAACCCACTCTATATATAGAGTAGAAAAATGTTGAGTTGTTGGGTCAGTTGTGAGGATGTATGGCCAGTGTACCAGAACATGCTGTTTGACAGTCTGCCAGTTAGAGTGCCCAAGAAATACTAGCATAGATAAGCAGAAGGTAGTGAACTGTCAATCCTCATTTTCAGAGCAGGTCAGTGGACCGATTGATCAGGGTATCATCGTGGGAATGCGACCTTGAGCGGGACAAGTGTATGGAAATTACCAATTAAAGTGCAGTGCACAATTTACTGTATAATATTTGTTGCCTCTAGCATGAATAAATGTGAACCCAGCTGATGACAACCTTAGATTAGTTTCTGGTTTAATTCCACTCAATTATTACACATTATCTAATAAAACCACATCTAGTGTCAGACAGTACTGCCAGTGCAGACAGTTGCACTTGTGGTTACAGGGAAAGGTACCAGGTGTGGTGGAGAAATTGGTGTGGAATGTAGAGCTGACAAGAGTTGCAGAATGAAAGCATAGGCTGGTTGAGCATAACCAGCACACTTCCCAGTGCAAATGGTCAACAGAACATCTGTTTGATGCAATCTGCCAATTAGGATTATGGCCTATATACTGGAACATGTGATACAGTGCCAATTTCAGCACTTGCAATACCATGTAGTCTATGGTCCAGTGACTGGTGAAACACACACCACATTCATCATTCACAGTATGCAGGATCATGCTCAACCAGTTTGTCTGCAATCCTCTAACATCATGCCCAGCATTGGGTGCTATTCAGCTGTTGGATGACACCAACACCATGCACAAAATAATCTAGACTGCAATAAGAAATATACAGAAAACATTTTAAATCAGCTGAGCTTACACTAATGATGCATTTACATGTACTAAATGTAGTTGAAAGTTTGCACTCAAAACAGGACAAATGCAAGAGCTCTTAAAATTTCCAAATGCCCAAAATTATACTGTGGCAAAAAAAAAAAAAAGACACGGTCCTGAAGATGTGCAATATCAAATCTGGATTTCAAAAACTTATAATGAAAGCAGTGACAACTTGAGAAAAGACATCTCTGGAAAATGAAGGGATGCTAATTTGCAATGGTGATGCAAAATGGCAGTCTCAATGTATTTCTTGGAGACTGGATCTATGCTGACTTCAACAGACAATAAATCTGAAAAATGCAGAAGACTACTTCCTATAATATTAAAAGCAGCATTAAGTCATGCAGCCAAAATTCATCAGTTAGAAGCAGGACATGAAAATATAACCACCAAAAGGGCTGTGTAAAGACATGAAACCATAATTAGGATAAACTGTGCAGAAGGGAGTTAATCAAAACCACCTTTTAGAACATACATTGTAGGTAGAGGAAATACAAATCAGGCCACACCAAAAAGATATTTCCCTCCCCATCCTTGTCCACTTTCTGCTGGGGACCTTTCATTTTGCAACTCCCTTGTCAGCTCTACATTCCACACCAACTTCTCCACCACATCTGGTACCTTTCCCTGCAACCACAACAGATGCGACACCTGCCCCTCACTTCTGTCCAAGGCCCCAAAGTCCTTCCAGATCCAGAGAATCACCTGCACTTCATGCAACCTGCTCTGCACATACCACTCAACTAACTCAACTTTCCAGTTACCATCCATTTTAATTCCTCCTCCCCCCACACCGACTCCACCAGCAACATGCCCATCCTTGGCCTCCAATGTCAGAATGAGGCCAAATGTAAACTGAAGAAACACCCGATATATTTTGCTGTGACAGCTTACAGCCCAACAGCCTAAATATTGACTTCAACTTCAAAATCCCTCCAACACCAGCCTTATGCAACGTGCAGCCCTCGTCAACCTGACTTGTCCAGCTTCCTATTTACCCATCTGCTCTACCCTTCCCGCTAACCAATCACAGTACCCCCTAGCTGCATCCACCTATCACTAGCCCCCCTCCATGTACTTCTAGGCTCCCCTTCCCTGTCCCAACAAAAGGGGTTCAGCCCAAAACATTGGCTTTCCTGCTCCTCGGATGCTATCTGATATGCTGTGCTTTTCCAGCTTCACATCTATTGTGAATGGATTTTTATACTTCTAAAAATTTATTGGACTGAGTGCAATAGCTTTATTGCAATATTTGGACTGGCAGAAATTAAGTATAGTCATGAGGCAAAGCTACTCAGTCTCTCGCCATTCTAAGAGAGAAGCTACGGCTGTTTGACAAGCTTCAAGTGTTTAAAAGTCACCAAAATCAGGGAGAATTCCACAGGGGAAAAAAAAAACACTTATGATTTCCATAGTAATGCTGCCGGAAGAAAAAAAAAAACTGGAACATTTTGGCCACATTCAGTTGACACATGTACAAATCCTGCAGCTGGAACAAACTACCAGCCGCAAACGGAGCTCTTTTTCCTCCGACTTAGTATTTGGTCGGACCTACCTACTTTTAAGAGTGGTAAGTGTGGGGGGATTGAGGGCATACGTTGTTTCCATGAGCTTAATTAACCTGTCAATTTTTTTAGCCAAATTGATTTCAGAACAATAAAAGCTTAATGTCTTGCTTCTTTATAAACTCAATTGGAAACCTCTGGTTAGTTCTCTACAATCAATGCAGTGTTAAATCCATGGACTTTCCAATCCAGTCTTTCGATTTAAAAAAAAATTGTTATAAATCAAAATGAGAAGGAAACATCAGTTGTAACATTGCACATAGGACACACTGCCAATAGAGAAAGCAATGGGAAACTCCAAGCCCACAAGTAATTCAAAGGGAAAAAAAAAAACTGGGATGTATTGGATTTGTTTACTGACAACAGATGCCTGTGTATATGTTGCTTCCAGCAAGTATAAATTGAACCATGTTGAGTTCAATTGAATCGTGTAGCTATTACACACAAGATTGTTGAACAAAGTGCTGTTAAATCTTAATCACAAAACCAGACATTTAGTTTTGAATTTTGCAAGCTGACCACTTAAGTATGATTTGTACTTGCCCAGCACATATTGAAGGGGTATCTAAATTTGCTCAAATTTAGAACGTACATACCAACTTAGCCAGTGCTGGCTGACAACTTGAGCATCATGTAACAAGTATTGGTCCCAGTTTGACTTTTGCTATTCTGTTGTTTGACCTAATGAATGCATTATGACCAATGTATGCAAAATGAAAAGCATTAGCAACAATTCCTTTTTGTTAGTTTCTGAATAATCAAATTTCTCAGTAACATGTCCCCAACACTGACCAATTATAGTTAAGATTCTTCTCAGATGAATTTTAAGTCATTTTTCTCCCATGCAAAAAAGTACAAACCAGCCACTATCTAATGGTCCATTAGATAGAGATAAATGAGTGGAAAGACTGGAGTAGCACACTGTCTGGGGAGCATGAAAGTGTGACAGTAATGTTGTTACTGGGTTATTAACTTTAAGGCCCAAGCAACCCTAAGGGCAATCACTCAAATACCAGTACAGCAGCTGGTAAAATTTAATTTCAAGTAAAATAAGAAATTGAGTCCAGAAACCAAGAAACTATCAATTCTTGCAAGAATCCATCTGGTTTACTAATGCCCTTTAGTGAAGGACATTTACCTGGTGTGCCCTACATGTGATTTTAGATACAGTATTGTGGTTGACTAAACTGCCCACTCAACTTAGGGGAATTGGTAATAGCAACACCCATAATCAAAAATGAATGATAAAAGAAGCTAAGTGTAGGATATCCCTCTAACCAAGAGGAGGGATATCCTAATTCCACAGACAGGGATATTCCTTTCACCAAATTGTTTTGCAACAGCTTAAATTTGTGCAATGCAAACGTTCAACACCTATACCAAGATTTGCACCCCAAAAATAAACCTAAATAAATATTTTATAGGTCCTCTATGTAATGGTGGAAATAACTGATTGTGGATGCTTCCATTGGTATTCACCAATTGACCCTCATTCATTCACTCACAGGGGTCGATTTGCTGGCTGCTTTATCATTCATGAAATCAGATGCCTCAACTTCAGCCCACTTTAAAAATCAAGTAACAATCCACAAGGTGGATTGAATTAATGCCTGTGCATCTAAAGAGTTCAATTCCCTTCTGATTCTGCTCTATGCAACAATAACAACAGTACAAGTTTTGAATGCAAACAGTATACCCAAGTTTATTCAATGGTGTTCAAAAAAATCCACAGGTACAATATGGATTGCAAGAACTGTTGGCATTAGCACAGCACCAAAAACTGGTGTTAGGGAAAGGGTACAATATTCCATAATCCATATTGATTTTACTAAGTTGACTCCTTCATGATTTGTTTCAAAACTTCATGCTCTGATTCACAGTAAACAAATCACCTGTCCTCAAAAGAGAGGATTGCAATCACTTCAATTAACCCAAGATCAATTAGAAGTTTCAATACAGATGCTGTTAAAATATTGAATGCCACGTTTAAAAAAAACTGTAATAATCCAGAATACAGGAGGTCTCTGAATGCATAGATACATTTTAATACCTTGAAACAAGAACTTTTCCTCACGATTTGTGCCAACAAGTTAAAGTTTTAGTCACTGGTTAGTGGGCTGTACACAATGCAAGCCTGCCAGTATTGAACACTGCACTGGAATTTGTTCTTTGACAGACAAATGTACCTTGGCAACCCAACCCCAGTAGTAATTTAGGGCATTACAGTTTTAGTTACAACCTTAGCACATTCCAGAAGTCAGCAGCAGACAAAACCCACCGAGAAGGAATATTTCAGAGCACCATGTGCAAATGCTACTTGTCCATACTGCTTATGCCATTTTCAAATGGCTTCCAGTGTTTTATTTGCTCCACACTAACTTACTGAAATGTTTTTTTTACTTGATCACATTGCCTACCTGGGCATCTTCAGAAAATTAATAACTTTTGAGTGTATGTATGTATTAAAGTTTTGGCATGAAGTAAAATTACACCATGTAATACAAAGTAATCCATTTTCAGGTTCAGAAGAAAGTTAAAACACTTACTAGATTAGTACATGATTTACAAATCTGCCACCAAAACAGTCACCGTGAAGACATTCAGACAGACACTCATCTGAATAAAAATTCCTTCCCCCAATCATGAATATTATTTGATGCTTTTAAAGTGCATTATCTTCCCCAGCCAACTCTACAAGGTTGGTGGTGGTGGTCAGGTAGGCAGAGGGGTTTGGACAGGAGACCTTATGCATGGAATTGGATAAAACACACCAATTTGAGGAAATAATTTCAATTTAAAATCAGACCAGTAAATTGAAGACAAATCCGATCATGATATTAACACCTCAAAAAAAGCAGCAGGAACTGGTGGAATGGCCCCCAAATACTTTGGCATTCATTTTAATGCATTGAACTGTTCAAAGAAAAGCACACAACTCAACTTTACCCATTTTAGAAATTGCCTGGGCAAAAAGAATAATTTAAATTATCTTTTTTGCTAGCTTTAATTTTGCAGATTATGTTTTTGACATTTCTACTGCGGAATGCAACTAACCAAGCTAGAGAATTATCAGATGCCTACTTAGTCTTCTGACTAAGATATCAATGCACAACTACATCAGGGCAAGATTAAATGTGTTCACCACCCCCTCCTCAACTCTACCATTAGTCTTAATTCTGCTTGATGTCTTCAAGAGCAAAATAAAGGATTTCCTTTTTAAAATTGTTTAATGATATTCTTGTTCATTTAAAAGAGGTATTATACTCAAAAAGGCTTAAATGGGAAAAAATAAACAAACAAACACTTACAGCAGGCACAAAAGCAGCAATATAACCATGCAAATTGGCAACTTTTCCTATTCAGGAGTTTAGTGTACTGCAGTCACGGAAACAAAGCAGCTAAGGTTGCTCAAAATTTAGCCCAAAATAAACACAAAAATGTTAGCTTATACAAAAGGTTGCATGCAACAAAGGCACTTTGTATACACTCAATTCAGTAACTGTTTGTTCCCTGGGTGATCTGATAGCTAATAATATCTTATCTTTAAATATCTGGAATACTCACTTAATTCACATACAAACAGGTCTCAACAAGAAAAGGACAAGCAAGTGATAGGATTTCTTCTTGCCTTGCCCTGAAAGCATTTATCAAAAGGACATGATTTTATAAACTGACTTCATTTTTACAGACTAAACACATTACATAAAGCACATTAAGGGTGTCAAATTTTACAAAAAGTGAAAATAAAAACTTGGCAAAATTCAGGAATAGGAAAATACACAAATTAGACAATGGTGTCATTATGGGTGGAGGATACAGTACTCTAAATTGATTCACTTGTGTTTTTTAAGGAATGCAGTCAATATTCAATTAATGCTGGTCAGAAAAGGTTTCACCAATACTGTGCTACAATGGACTCACTGGATTATTTACCACTCTGCTATCATAGTGTCTAACATGCACAAGGGAACAAAGACTTGAAAACATTGAGTGTGACTACTATAAAGACAATTAAATAGAAACGAATTTACATCTCAAGTGTACTTCATTTTCTTCCCTTGTGTCTGAGGCATTAGTATCTTCAATCACTAAATCAATGCTTCAAGCTTTCCTCCATTACAGGCTTGTTCCAATCTCACCAAACCCTTCAATTGAAAAACCCCTCCACATCCAAGTGCACTCAACTGGTTAAATAGGATGCTTCAAGGAATCAAAAGTATTTCAAGAAGTGTCCAAGACTGTTTAAGTGTAACAAGTTTTAAAAAAACTACAATACATGGAAGGAACACAACCAACCATGTCAATCAGGCAAAAGATTGCCATTATAATGTTCAGCATTAAGTGGCCAGTACTCAGACTGCTGAAAGTGAGCTATTAGACAACATGCAGATGAAACAAACAAATCCTTCACTGAACAGAGCACACCTTCTGCAGACAGTCCTTGTACAACGTGCTATTGACGTGAAACTGTCTATTTGACGTTGTTTCCTCCCAACTCCCCCAAAGTGCAATATTCCAGTACTGTGAACTGGGAAAACAGCCAGTGGGCAACATGAAAGCAGAAGCTATGAGTGGCCTTCACTTGTAACTTCTGGCTTCTCTTGTAGGAGAGGAATAACCGACTCCCATGCTGCAAGGCACTGCAAATCAAAAAGATAAACATTTAAAATCTTAGCAATAATGGTAACAATAAATCCATAACAAACTCCAAACATAAATATTCAAGAAAGAAATTTCTCAAGTAGCTCAAAATTATATAGGGAAGGTTGCCATTGGGGCATCCTCCTTTTGCCTTTTTTTTTAAAAAAAACAAACAGGTGTCCAATTAATCCCACTCCCCAGTTCCTATCCAATAGACTTGTAATTGTTCATTTCAGGACTATATCCATTTTTAATTTTTTTAAAGTGACTATTGAATCCACTTCCCGTCAAACAATGCATTCCATTCTTAAATTTGACACAAAGTTGTGGAAATGTGTTTTGGCCAATTCCATAAAATTGGTCCTGTATGACACAGCGAGGTTGGACGGCTTTTCCAAAGAAATTACGTTTGTATAGCACCTTTAAATGCAGAAAACTGCCCAAGATTGATAACTTTGTTTTTGTGAAACAAAGACTGAAGGAGTTGTTAGGACAGATGACTAAAAGCTTGGTTCAAAGTGGTAGGTTTCAACTAATGTCTTCAAAAAAAGGAGTTACAGGAGATTAAGGAGGGAAACCCAGAGCTTGGGAACTAGACAGATCAACAACAGTTGCCAATGGTGAACCATTTCATGCAAGGGAATGTTCTGTGAAATAAATCACTGAAGCAAAGGACACAACTAGTTATGTTATGAACTATCCAAGATCTGAAAAGGGTCTTGATATTCATAGCAAACTGTACAACTGTGGAAACAATCTTAGGAAGATGTAGAACTTCAATTGAAGTTCTACTATTCCAAAATCAAATCAAAATGCTTTACACTCCATGACGCGAACATATTTTTAAAGCTGTTTGACAAGCCGGTCACAAAATCTGGCCTGAAGCAAGAGAGCTACTTTAGTTATCCAAGTTTACTATGCAGAAATAAGACAAAATGGGAGACTCCTACAGAAGGAAGCATTTTAAACTGCACATCAAACCAAACCAATGCATTAATTAAATTCCATGTCCTACAAGACATGAGAAATGGAAACAGGTGCAAGTCATTTGGCCTTGAATCTGCTCTGCCACTCAGTAGGATCACGGCTAATCGGATATTCTTATCTCCATTTCCCTGTAGTTTCCCCATCCCCTACTGCAGCAATAATTTTCAGAACAAGATACTTTTCAGTCTTTAAGCAGTGATTGAAGCACACAGGATTCCCAACTCTGCTAGGACTGCTCAACTCCTGAACTCATTACAAACATGATCCGAACATGGACAAAATGAGGTAACGAGGAGAGTGCCACTTTAACATTAACACAGCAGGTGACAGAGAATGGCATCAAAAGGAGACCTAGAAAAGACTGAAGTCAAAGAAAATTGGGTAGCATAGGGGTTGCTGGGATGTAGTACCCCCACAACTTTAAGTCATGCTGAGCACAAAATGACAGATGAATTTCTGAACAATTATCTCAGCCCCAAGACATCACTGCGGGAGTTTCTCAGGCCCAAACATCCGAAGATGTTCTATCAATGACCTCCCCTTAGTTGTACGATCAGAGTTGGGGATGTTCTGATGATTATACAATGTTCAAAACTAATGGCAACTCCTCCGTGAAGTAATCCACATTCATACAAAGCAAGACCTGCACAATATCCAGGCAAATTATGCTAGGCAATGGCTACCTCCAACAAGATAGAATTCCCCTTGACATTCAACATTATGGAGTCGCCCACTAACAGCCTAGGCAATACCATTAACCATTGTGGAACAGGACAGCTTTAAAACTGGGGCTATGAGCAGGTAACAGGCAGGGTTCTGCAGTAACTCCTCCCATCTCCCCAAAGTCAGTCCACCATCTAGGCACAGAGTCAGGAATTTTTCCAAAAGGAAGAGTTCTAGATTTCCACAACTCAAAAAAAAGGTGCATCACCCAACATCAAAAAAAAACAGCCGAGTTCTAATCTGAAGGCTGCCTGAAGAATTACTGAAAGAACCAGTAGTTACTGCTGGAGTGTCATTAAGGGTACCCTTTCAACACACAGGTAACAGGAAAGCATGAAGATACCCAGAAGGAGGGTTGGGTCAACTAATCAAAGCTCTACAATGTTATGAAATATTCTGTGCCCGAATAATCCAGTATAGAGTGCAAAAGAAAGGAGGAGAAGAGTCATAGGGTAGATTCAGAGTGTTGTGGGTTAACAGAATGCATCAACTAATCAATGCAGTAAAGTTATACCTTCTCATAATACTGGATGTTCTTGTCTGCCATTCCCATCAACAGCTGTCGAAAGTCCTGTCTTTTGTTGCTTTGCCACCGATCCCAGTCTGCCTTCAGATCAGCATTGAAGCATTCCACACGGTCCTGGCACTTTTCAACACTGGTTGGCGTCTTTCAGATAAAATAAATCATCTGCTTTACTATGCATAGTATCCTACAGTTTAAGTTACACAATGCTTCTTATTCCCAGACAGTACTGAACATCAAATCACAGGATAGACAGATTACTAAATCAGCACAAAAGGCTTGCATTATATAGGCCTGCATAACATTGAACTAGACTATGTTAGATTAAATGTCACTTCAGAAGAGCCAAGATTTGGATGGAGTGGGGAGGTGAATGGCAGATACTAGAACAGAACAAACAACAGTGCAACTTGGACAAAGGCTAAGCCAAAAAGCCAGACTTGGAAAACGAAATTCCAGTCATGGGAGATTAGCAAATCTTGAATTTAACACCAATTTTAAAATCATACAATAGTTACTGTACTGCTGCAAGGCTGACCATTTAGTTTACTGAATTCAGTTACTCATCCCTGATAATCACTTAACTTTGATTTGGTCTTTACAATACATATAGAAAAGTCAAAAG